TATGTCTGCTCTGGTTTAGTGGTCCTTTACAAGTTTTGAATTAAAATGGATAACCAAATGATAACTGTGCCTCGGTGCAATGTAATTTTTAAAGGGCCCATTTTTTTCTGATCTATGTCTGATCTATGTTATAATGTTGTTTCCCCATCACAAACATACCTGGAGTTTTGTTTTGCTTTATTCACACATATTTAACACACAAACTCTACATCTCAAACAGAAAACACTCTATTTTACCTTGGGATGTCATGTGATAATACAGCAGCTGCTCCACTGTGTTTTTTTTTAAACTCCATACACCTTCACTAAAAATATTTGGATGATTTCAGCTTTGGAATTGCCAATCTCCACTAAACTAACGATAAAAGGAAGCTGTTAACTTCACAGATATCGCAAAGTGGAACAGAACATTTTGAGCTTTGAAGATGTAGAACAGGAGTGTCAAACTCAAATTCACAGAGGGCCGAAATTAAAAAACCGGTCTAAGTCATTGGCCAAACTAAATATTTATTTCAACAACATCTGCATATTTATCTTCTTTCGAGATATGTAATGTTAAACCTTTTCTATTAAAGCAAATGGAAATATCACAATAAATATACCGTGATATGTATATCATGAAAATATCATACAGAGAGATTTGGATATTGTTACATCGTGAGCCTCCCTGTCATATCATGAGCTTTCCCATGATATCGCAATAAATATCATACCGTGATGATATCGTATCGTGAGACTTGGATATTGTTACACCCCTCGTGAATTTGCAACTTTGGTTCTGTCATAAATCAAAATATTAAGATTTAAAAGTGCTCAGTAATGGTTATTTCTTCATATAATCGGTAATGAAACTGAGCAAAGGATCATGGTCTATGTAGTTTCCTGAGTTTTTTCACTATATTGCTGCACTATAGCTTGTGAGACCCGTGATATTATTGTGAGAGCTTTGACGATACGATATCATGATATTTCGGTTATTGTTACACCCCTATAACAGTTTGGTTTATGGTGGTATGATGCTGGGAGGAGGATTGTGAATACCAGCTGTTCCGAACAACATCTGCATATTTCTCTTCTTTTGAGATATGTAATGTTAAACCTTTTCTATTAAAGCAAATGTTTAATAATAGTTTTGCTTAAACATTGAATCCTGAAGAAGCATAATATAAAATTATAACAGAATTTTAAATAAATAATGTCTCTGTAGCCGGCGGGCCAGTTATAATACATATTTGATATGATCTCGCGGGCCGAATATAATTATATCGTGGGCCAAATTTTGCCCCCGGGCCTGAGTTTGACATGTCTGATATAGAGAGACTAATAATAAAGTGTTACTCATGCAACGCTAGCTATGTTTCTGATGAGATGATGATAACAATATTATAAAATGGCTAAACGCTCACAAGAGTCAATTTGGTCTAATTAGGACCTTTAAAGAGTCAACAGGGGAGTTGGTTTATGTTTTGATTGACAACCATCCTTAGATTAACAATGATATCTTTTTTAAACATCCTGTATTTTTGAATATTTTAAAACTCATGCCGTAATTTACATATATGTATCAGAAGTTTACAAAACTGCACATATTGCATATATTCGTACAAGTAAAATTACGATATCACATCTGCCGTTTTTCATCTCTGTTTGATCACACTGCCAGAGACGGTTTAACATTTATTTCCTTCTTTGTTTTCACATCGACTCACTTAATGTCAGTATTTTCCAAAATTGTTTTCTGAATGCATAACAACCTGCCATTCCTGTCAAGTACCTCTATAAGAGATCTTACTAATGTCGGTGTAAATGATGATTATAAGAACAGCACGCAGAGAAATAAAGGCGTAAGATGTTAAAATGACAGCTGGAGGTTTCCTGAGGAGACTTATATCTCCACAAACACTAGCACTGGCCACCCCTGCTTAGACCCCTGCACTCAAATGGTCTTTTAAATGTTTTAAACCCTCCATTCCTGTCAAGTACATCTCTTAAAGCAATATCTAGCTAATATAAAATGACTTAAATCAAGAACATTTTACTTTATTTGAGTAGACTCGAGTAAAATTATACCAATGGATTACGTGTGTTTTTCTTAAATCACAATTCACACACTATATATAACAGATTGTCTTTTAAATGTATTGCAACCTGCCATTCCTGTCAAGTACCTCTCTTAGTCATACTGCTACCCGTGTAAATGATGATTATAAGAACAGTACAAGGAAGATAAAGGTGTTAAATGTTAGGATGACAGCTGGAGGTCTTGCTATATCTCCACAAACACTAGGCCTGGCCACCCTTGCTTAGACCCCTGCACGGCTGCCCACTTCCCCGCTATGCACATCAAGGCCCTGGAATACAAATGAGCTGTTTAAACGAATCCGGCACCCTCTTGGACACAAACCTGCACCGGCTCCCACAGATAGCACACGCACGTTAATAATGCATTTGGACCAAGAGCATCGGGGAATGTATATTGAGTTACCATGCAAAGCACTCAGCTACAAACTTAATTTTATTCTTAAGTCCTTTGAATCCTCACATTTGGGGCCCGTGCGCGTGTGTGTGTGCGTGTTAAGATGTAGAGGAAGTGGTAAGAGGGGAGACAGGGGATCAGATTAGGGAGCGGTGCACATCTGTCAGTACGCTGCCATCTTCCACACCATTAGATTAGGCCTAATGAAGACAATGCAGTGTGTTGATGTGCGTGTTTGTGTAACTGGAGCATACGGATAAGGTGAGAGGATGGAGGTGGATGGACCATTGGAACCACTAGAGTCAGCTCTCTAAAATCTGTTAAATGCGGCGTGTCTGAGATGCCCCACTAAAGCGGCAAATCACAGGCACATTCTCTTAATATTCCCCAGTTTTCAAAATAAACAAATTTCGCCAGCGCAAACAGTGCAAAGTGCAGCGATGGCAAGAAGATGGTTTGTGCGAGAGAGATGCAAGAGTTGTAGACGGGTGAGTGAGAGATGGCGAGAGAGAGAGAGAGAGAGAGAGAGAGAGAGAGAGAGAGGTGGCGAGAGAGAGAGAGAGAGAGAGAGAGAGAGAGAGAGAGAGAGAGAGAGAGAGAGAGAGATCTTTCCACTGTGCTGCTTCAGCCTTCCTTTCAAATTAGAACAGAGCCGTCTCCAGAGAATGTGACATTTTCACGGAGCGAGCCAGCGAGAGATGGAGGTTGAGAGGGGGAGAGGAGGAGAGGGGGCGAGGGGGGGAGAGGAGGAGGAGGGGGGGGGGGGCAGAGGGATGGAGGGCGCGGGCTTCGGTTAGTGTTAAGGCCGGATGGAGAGAGTGATGAGAGGAAGAGTGTGAGTGTGTACGGGGAGGGTGGGGCTATTAGTCCACCCTCCAGAGGCTACTAATGCACTGACCTTCATTAACTGGCATTACTGTTGGTGTGTGAGAGTGTGTGTGCGCCTCTCTTTAGTTAACAGTCATTACAGAGTCTTTGTTTAAAGGCCAGTAAACTAATGAAGCTGTTAAATAAAGTGAAGAAATCCTGATTTGACTATCGGAAACACAGACTTTAAGTGTCATCAAAAGTCAATGGGATACGCTTCTTGGACACAAGTCAAAATTGCCTTTTTTACTGTTACTTTGAAACCATTGTGCCCTCATTGAAAACTATTAATACTCCACTAATGGAAAATTAGAACATTAAAAGTACAGCTAGGTGGTAGTTGTGGAGGTGTTTCTGAAGTAAGGTTTAATTGAAATGTAGATTCAGTCATCTCTCATCGTCAATGATCAGTCAGGGTCTCTTTAATCGAGTTGGCTACAGCTAATCCTTTAAACTTTGTAAAAAAGAAGAAGGAATATAATAATAGTAACGATTATGTAGAAGAGCTTTTAATGTTTAACCTTTTTCTCTATGATTCACTGTTTTTATCTTTCCTGTTTTATTTGTTTATTGCTCTTTTGACTCTGTAATATGGAAAACATCTTTGAGTGTCCTGAAAAGCGCTATATAAATAAAATGTTATTATTATTCTTATATATCTGTATTTAGTATTTTAAAGGTGCTATGTCACTTTTTGTTTGAAGCAATCACCTGTTTGTTTCTATGGATATGTTATTTCTCTGGCTAAATGTTCCATAATAAGACATTAAACAGCTTTACCTTACATTTATTCAGCTACAGGTGGTTTTATAGCTCAAAAATACAATACAAACAGGTCAAACTCAGGCCCAGGGTCCAAATTTGGCCCGTGATAATTATATTTGGTCCACAAGATGTTTTAGTGCTGGCCGGCTGGCTACAGATAGGCGATAGAGACATTATTTATATAAAATGTTGTTATTATTTTATATTATGCTTCTTCTGGATTCATTGTTTAAACAGAACTATTAGTAAATGTTTATTTTAATAAGAAATGGTTTAACATTACATATCTCGAAAGAAGAGAAAACATGCAGATGTTGTGGAAATTTTTCAGTAAATATTTTGTTTGTCCCATGACTTTGTCCAAGTTTTTAATTTTTGACCCTCTGTGAATTTGAGTTTGACACCCCTCATCTAGAAAAACAGACATTCTGACTGTGAGGGGGGGTCGCCTCTCCACAGATCTGACCTGTAACTTGGTCTGGTTTGCTCTCCATGAAGATAGAAATATTTAATGCCAGACAAAGAAATAATATCTCCATGGAGAAAAGCATTTGACGCACTCTCTCTCCAAAAACTTACAGAATGCACCTTTAAATTTTATATGACAACATAAAACTAAATTCAAAATCGAGGTCGTTCAAAACGGAGCTCTACTTTGCAATGTTCCCAGGTAAACAAAGTGTACTTTTACGACCCCATTCTGTAATTGAGAAGATGTAAAATGAAGTACTGCATACAATCGACATAAATAACAACGCAGATTTGTTTCTTCTCATTTAAAATGGTTGGCAAAGTTCCCACACATGCAGCATATGTTTTGTATTTTACTGAAATAGTGTATACTGTAAATAGCAGACATTCTCAGCACTGATGTTTGTTTATCTGTCCGCAGGCTCTCCTTGAAACTCAGAAACAGCTGCGTTCTCAGATCTCCAACTTTACCTTCAACTTGGGCTTCTCTGGGAAGTTTTACCACACAGGTGCAGTATGCTCAGTTTTATCTTCTCTACTTCTAACTCTGTAAATGGTTCCTCTCAATCTATCGGACCACAAGGGATTTTTTTTTTTTTTTTAATCGATAAACTGAGGTCAATAAGGAGTATCTCAAGATTTGATTTATTTTAACGTTACAATTCTAACTTGACTAAAAATCATGTGGATCATCTAAAATAGAATGTGTGAAAAGATGTGTTATTCTAGCAGTACGATTTAACATTAAAGGTCCTATATTACACCAAATTCTCGTGAGCTTTACGTCTTGTTATAATGTGGTTATCTCCTTAAAAACAGACCTGTTCTGTTTCATTCACACGTTTGAATAACCCTTTATTATTAATCTGTGTACAGTGTTTCCCACAGTGGAGATTCTGTTTTGCGAGGAGTCACGTGGCCTGATTTATTAGCTGGTTTCACATTGTGGAAACCGTCTGACCTCGCAGCATTAGGATTCGTTCGCTTGTTGATAGGCGGGTACTTTTTTTATTTAACCAGTCGCTGCTATTTGGCCATGACATATGTAATGTGCCAAATCCCGTAGGAAGAAGGGCAATAACGTCTTTCCCCTTGATAATATTCACCAAACATTCTCTTTGTTTCGGCTTAAAATCCTCGAACTCAGGAATCATTGCCAACACAGAATGTATGGCTTCATCTACATCCATCTAGAACCGCTTTGTTTATTGTCGTGCTGTATGACAAAAGGGACCCAGATAGGGGCTTGAGTTTGACGTCATGGCTTCACAAGTCTACAACTTCCAGGGTTCTTGCAAACCGTCTAGTGTATTCCGATTTATGACCTAGTCGCTGGAGAGAAATGAAATTGAGCAGAGGCACTAGGTGGCGCCAGCCTGGCTAAACAAGTGGCCCCCACCTTAACTATAAAATGCTGCAGGAAACACTGGTCTACATCTCAAAAGCTCAAAATGCTCCTGCGATGTCATACAGTGATAGTAGAGATTGACAATTCCAGGTCTGAAATCACCCAAATTATTCTAGTGAAGGTGTATGGAGTTTAAAAACACAGTGGAGCACTCCCTCTATTACCACATGACATCAAAAAGTGTTTTCAGTATTGTGATATAGATCTGAAAATAGGGTAATATAGGCTGTTTAATAGTATCACTGTATTAGAATATTTTTACTTCAAATTAAGTACAGACATTGGATCTTCAGTAGCCCGGTTTAATGATGCTTCATTCAGACTAAAAACAGTGTCTTGTTGCCAGGATTTACAAATACTACACCATATTTCATACACAATTAACACATCTTAAATGATCGTGACCTCAAACGCGCCCCCACAAATGCATAATGTGAAAACAATTATTCTTAACAACAACTATTTGAAAAAAAAGAAAAAAAAAATACACAAAAACAGCAATGTGTGTTTTTTTATAATCATGTAAAATTATGATATAATTGCCAAAAATAATGACCTTTAATGACCTGACACTCGGATAAAGCTCTCAAGACCTCCTACAGTCAGTAAAAGCAGAAGGCAAATTTCCCTAGAAGAAAATAGTATTTATTAAATGTACTACAGCATTCATTTAAAATACATTTATAGTATATTTAAACGTACACTGTGTAACATTTCTAGTGGAGGGTTTGCCACCTGCTTGTCTCCATGGAGATGTCATTGCTTTGTCCAGAATGTTCCACAGTATAGATTTAACCCTATCTATCACGAAGGAGACACGCTTACAGGGTTACAGCTCTACGCTCCATTACTATTCAGATCTGCGGAGAGGCGCTCCTATTCACAGAAGGAATTATTTTATGTTTGAGCAATAGAAACACCTGTAATGAAATGCTAGATGGAATTGTTTAAAGTTATACCATGGAACATTCCAGGTAAAGCAATAACATCTCCATGGAGACAAGCAGGTAGCACTAGAAAAGTTTTTTGTTGTTGTTGTTGGAGTTTTTTTTTCATTAACGAAGATGAAAGCAGCCACATACAGTTCATATCCATTCTATTCCTGGTTCTTTTTACAGAATAGATTTTCACACAATTTCTACAAGAATGTTTATGACTTCTGACGTATTATTGCAATTTTTTACGCTCTGTGGTTAGCGAGGGCAGATAGTATTGATTTTCTTAATAACAAAGATGAATTTCAAATAATGAGAAAAATCTTTTTTTTCACATATAGTAAGTGAAATGAAAGGTGATAGTGCAGAGTGTATCGCCGTGGTAACACACAGAAGACCCATTTAGATCACGTGAAGATGTATTCTATGTATTGTTACGACATAATTTTAACATTGATTTATCGTTTAATACATGAAAGCTAGGACAATATATTTTGAGGCACAATATTTATCATGTGAACATGTGTGTGTATAGCCAGGAGGTTCCTGCTATTTTTAAAGGTCCTATATTACGCAAACTGACTCTTGTGAGCTTTAAATCATGTTACAATTCTGTTTCCTCATCAAAAACATACATGGAGCCGTGTTTTGTTCATTCTCGCATGTTTGAGTAACGCTTTATTATTAGTCTGTCTAACTCCAAACCTCAGAATGCTGTGTTCCACCTTGTGATGTCATGTAGTGGTAGCATTTAAGTTAAATGTGTCTTACGTTTACTTCAGTATGACTGGCAGTTCCTTGCTGCAATTAGCCAAATGATTCTTGTGAAGGTGTATGGCAGGAGTGTCAAACTCAAATTCACAGAAGGCCAAAATTAAAAACTGGGACCAAGTCATGGGCCAAACTCTATATATTGAAAAATTTCAACAACATCAGCATGTTTTCTTTTCTTTCGAGATATGTAATGTTAGACCTTTTCTTATTAAAATAAATGTTTAATAATAGTTTTGCTTAAACACTGAATCCAGAACAAGCATAATATAAAATAATAACAAAATTTTAAATAAATAATGTCTGTAGGAGGCAGGCAACTCTAATACATATTTGATATGATCTCCCGGGCCGAATATAATTATATCGTGGGCCAAATTTTGCCCCCGGGCCTGAGTTTGACATGTCTGATATAGAGAGACTAATAATAAAGTGTTACTCAAATATGTGTGAATGAAACAAAACACAACTCCAGGTATGTTTCTGATGGGATGATGAGATGAGAACAACATTATAATATGGCTGAAAGCTCACAAGAGTCAATTTTGTATAATTTAAGACCTTTAAAGAGTGAACAGGGGAGTTGGTTTATGTTTTGATTGACAGCCATCCATAGATTAACAAAGATGTCTTTTTTTAAACATTGTGTATTTTTGAATATTTTAAAAATGGTGCCGCAATTTTAAAAAATACATATATTTTTTTGCTCCAACACATTTGCAAAGCATTCTGGTATTCGTAGTATTAGTGGTGCATGTGCCATATTGGTGCGGCAGCCGGCGGGCCAGCTCTAATACATATTTGATATGATCTCACGGGCCAGATATAATTATATTATGAGCCAAATTTGGTCCCCGGGCCTGAGTTTGACATGTCTGGTGTAGGGAGTTTAAAACCACATTCGTGTATTTCCTGTATGACATAACATCACAATGTGGAGCAGAGTGTTTTCTGTTTGAGAGAAAGAGCTCATCTTAAACACACCTTTAATTACAAATGCCACATAAACCAATCCAAACCCTACTGTATCTGCTTTATTTCTGTTATTAATTATTTTCTTTATATCGCTGTTTGTGTGTGTACAGGAACTGTGCAGGAAGACGAAGGTGACGATTTGCTGTTGCGATATGTGGATGAGTTCTGGTGGTTCCCTCACATGTGGAGCCATATGCAGCCACACCTTTTCCACAATGAGTCCTCTCTGCTGGACCAGATGGTTCTCAACAAGCAGTTTGCTCTGGTGAGACAGATCCTCCACACATGTGTCTGACGCAGCTGTCTCTTCTCCTCTGTCTGACTGTCCTTTTAATCAGACTTCTTCCTGTGATTGCATTTTACTTCAAGGACGTTTGTGGCTCACGGCGATTGTCAGTTCTTTTTGTTATTTTTGCCCTTTGACTTAATCAGTACTGTTCATTTTTCACAATGCTCTTTTACTGAAGATCATAACAGAGGTGCGAGCGCTGGAGCTGGAATTTTGTTTGCAGTAATAATTTTATGTAAATTGTAGGGGTAGGGCTGGGAATCACAGGGTCCCTGTTCACGGTTCGATACGATAATGCCATAATCGATTCTAGTATTTCAGTTTGATTTCGTGTTGAGTTCGATTGTCGGAGGGGCTGCTGGGAACAAGACAGGAGCACACAGATATACAGAAAGTCAGGAGGAGCCGTGACTTTTAGCCATCAAAATAAATAAATGCAGAAAATAGAAAGATTAGATGGTGACGTTTATGTCTAAAAGCCTTTCAGTAGTGCATCATAAACCACTTGCTCCTTATGAGACACACTATTTTTTTTAAATAATTGTGGCCTAAATCATTAAGCCAGTTATGTATTCATAATGGTCAACTGCTTTGGGTCTGTTTTAGTGAAATTATAAAAACTGGTGACCTGTTTTTTATTTAATTAATTTAAAAAGTTATGTATTTTTAGTAAGTAATTTATTCCAGATATCTACTGTTCATGCTAACTAAAGTTCTGAACGTTATTATTAATAACGTTGACTTTATTTTTTAATTCAATGTTAATAGTATATTTTGTGTTTTAAGATAAGAAATTATGTTAATTTAAAGAAGTTATCAAAATCAAAAGTTGAACTGAAACATGACTTAAGTGAATCGTCCCATCCCTAATTGCATGTTATACAATTCAATACATTTTAGAAAAATATTTCTTCTTTGTTAAACCACCACCTTTGCAAAGTTAATATGAAATACATCTATTTTAATTATCAATACAGTGAGTCTTAATATTGTTATCATGAGCTGCTTTATTAATATATCACCAAGAGTTTTTTGTGACTACACTAAAATCTTGTTCCTTTCATTATTAATATTATCAAATCTATTACCACAATATATCCATATTTTTATATTTTCACACACCCTTAGGCTGTAGGTTTTTGGTTGTTTAGTCAAATGATTGGTTGATGGTGTCTTAGTCGACTGGGATGTGTAGTTGTTTAATCATTTTCTTCATATTATATTGGGAAAAAGTAGAAATGAGAGGTTAGTAAGTTAGCTGAAGATTTTAATTCCTGTGCAGGTGTAGTCTTGTGAGTGCAGTTTGGGTCAGATACATAGATGCGTAATAGTTTAGAACGCTTATGCCACACCCCCTTTTAGTCGATTTGAGACCCTTTTTATCATGTGAATAAATATTGTCAAAAATACTGAGCTCAAAATTGACCTTTGACCCTTATTTGTCAGTTACTGTACTCTGCCTTTGTATCATAAGGAGTCGCGCAAAGGCAAAAGGCAGTAACAGTGCATGTTTTGGTTGTGATTTAGTTTATAAATATATTTTATTGTATAATCCAACCTCTTGCCTCCTTCTTTTTGTTGCAGCCTTGACACAGGGTCTTAACATGTTAAATGTATACAACGTTGTATTAAATTATACTTAAATGATCTTTAATGTGAAACTATTTTGGTGTATTTATTCATACTATACATACTATACTGCAAAGTACCTTGTCTGTCAAACTGTTTAACTGTTTAAGTGTTGTCGCACAATCCTGACCAGCACTAAACAGGAAATCGAAAGGTCTATATCATTTCAAACAAACACCATGATGACTCGACCTTGGTGATGTGTTCTTATAATGGATGGAAGTCTGGTTAAAGTCAAGCAAATAACGATCATGTTAGTTCCTGCCTTTTGCCTTTGCACAGTTCCTTATTTTTGCGATGTGATACAAAGGCAGAATACAGGAACTGACAAATAAGGGTCAAAGGCCAATTTTGAGCTCAATATTTTTTTTCATGTAAATATTCCTTCATTAAAGCAACTAGCTGTACAATTTTGGAGCCCTACCTACTATACTTTTGTCTGGACAAAACAGAAACTTTTTTCTCAGTTTCACACTCTGGCAAGTTAAAGTATTTTGCCTTTGTAGGGCAGCACAATCTATATTTAATGTTTCAGGTTTCAGGTTTTTCGTTTATATCCTTGTGGAGAAACTTGGCTCTGAGCAGGGGTCAGTAGCGTTAACAAAACATAACAAAAGACAAAAGAAAAACATGTAGAACTGGGCAATTTACAATCACTCAGGCTCCTCACATCTGCACAGTCAGTCCATGTTGTTAATATTTTATGGACTGAGTTGGAAGTTTTTATACCTGTTATTTATCTATTGCTATCTAATTATCTACTCCAAGACTTGTGACCTCTGTGTACATTTAGTTGTGAACTGTGAATTGTTCAGTTCATAACTCAGGCACACAAAGAGGAGAAAAGTATTCACACACCACCAACATTCTTGTTTTCTCAACTTCAGTCACGTACTTCTGTTTACCAATTAAAATCTTAATCTTTTAGTAAATCCCTGCATCTGAAAATCGTCTTCTTTTTTGTTTGCGCTTTTTTATCAAGTAGAGTTTGGAAATGATCTTAAAAAAAAAAGACTCTCAGAACATCAAAAATAACACTGCGCTATGTAATCACCAACGCAAATTAGTTTTACAGTGGATGGACATGGGGTCAGAATGCCCCTCAAAACAAAATCCATCTCTTTTCTGAAACTGACAGAATAACTTCTCACGGGTTAACAATAGAAGCGTCGCCTGGGCCTTGTTTATTCCCTGATTAAGCCTCGGTGCATGGTGTCAAGTGCCATTGTCTCTCCTATGCGCCTTTGTTAGTGATTCACATGACTGTAATGGATTGTCATGTCACACTTATAATAAAACGCGAGGGGCCCGGTGCACATTTGCCGAAGGTGAGTGTGCTCGTAAACAGTGATCCCTAACCTCTACCACACATCTGCTCTCCCATCGTGCTCTGCTGCTGTGGATGGAGTGTGTGGGAGTGTGTCAGCACCAAGGACAGCGCCATCAGTCTGGAAGATCCACGCACACACACACAACATATTTGCACGCGTCTTTTAATTCCCAAACCAAGGCCGGAGAGCAACCCACATGGTCTATACAAGGTCAGATCTATGGGCAGTGCGTGTTTACTTTTATGTTCTTATTATGTTTCGTCATCACAAACATACCTGGAGTTTTGTTTTGTTTTCATTTGTGATGGAAATTTATGTTGTGGAAATTTCTCTCAATTTGTCTTTGTGTAAATGAACATAATTTCTACCTGAGACCATACCCCCACAGGAAAATATTGATTATGATTGATTGAATTAAAATAGTGATTAGTTTATTGTTCAGAAACACATTTGGTCTTGTAAGTAAAACTAATTTGGTTTGGTAGTTAAAGACAGGATGCAAATCAGATCAAGCACATGTTCACATACCTCAGTAGGAGTCGTCTAACCTGATTCATCAGCCGGTTTCACTTCGTGGAAACCGTCTGACCTCACAGCATTAGAATTTGTTCGCTTGACGGTAGGCGGGTACTTTTTTGTTTAACTGCTATTTGGTCATGACGTATGTAATGTGCTGCTAATGGGGCTAACTGGTATATTAAGCTTTTCCCAAATCCCGGGCAATAACGTTTTTCCCCTTGATAAAATTCACCAAGCATTATCTTTGTTCTAGCTTTAAGTCCTCGCTCTCCAGAGTCGTTTCCAACACAGAATATTTGACTCTTCGCTGATTGACCTGTGCACGATCTACCACTTCCAGGGTTCTTGCAAACCATCTATTGTATTTTGATTCCTGACCTAGTCGCTGGAGAGAAATGAAATTGAGTGGACTCACTAGGTGGCGCCAGCCTGGCCAGGAGTCATCACCTTCTCAGTTTGAAATGTATGTCCTCTGGTCATCTCAGGCTATATAAACTTGGTGCTTTGTAACATTTGGAGGCAGAATGTGTGAGGGACATACCGCTGGTGAGGATGTTGGTCTGTGGCCAGGGCAGGCCTAGACCTGGTCCATATCTGCTGTAACAAGAATAAACCTTGGTCTGTGTCCCAAAAACTCATCGGGCTTCACAAATGGGTGAATTATTTATCATCAAGAGAAACATAATTTTTTCCACAATATAATTCATACACGTTTAACACACAAATCCTTCATATTTAGACTGAGTTCTTCTCTCAAATGAAAAACACTCTGTTTTAAGGCTCACAGGAGTCAGTTTTGCCTAATATAGGACCTTTGTATTGTATTTGCATTTTGAAGTGAAAGGTCTATTTCTCAGTAGTTACCCCCGAAGAGTATACTGTAAAAGCAATAGTATGTAATAAAATGAGCCTGCTTGCCCTCTGCAGTTAATAATAAAGTTGTTTTTATTTCTCGTCAACCCAAAAAAAATACTGAAAGAAGTGCTCTGATTAGCTGTGCTTGGGTGGTCCATCACAGTCTCACTTCAGCACCTGAAAAAAGCTGTTCTGTGCAAACACGTGAAAATGAATACATGTGGATATTAACAATGTGCTGAAGGGTTTGTGAGAGCTACGAACAAGTTGGGCAGATTGTGAAAATCAGGTCCCCCATTTTGACATAGTATTACACCAGTTGCCATAGCGATTTCAAATTTAACAAACCTTCTCCATGTATAGAACCTATATGTGAACAGTGTTAATAATGGAAAAGATCAGGGACTATTTCCTCATTTATTTGTTGAACAGACGGCAGCACATGAGCTCTTCTGCATTGTCTGAGATATTTATGGCTGCTGCTGCCTTCTGTAATGTCTGTGTGGCGTTTCTTTCCATTGGCTCATTGTTATTCATTCACAAGATGTTTGGCTAAAGGGCCAGCCTGGCATGTGGCGGCCGTACACCATCGCCGCTCATAAGTTTATGCATATACAGTACGTGGTGCCATTGACCGTGGGGTTATGGCAGGAGCGGTGCTTAAGGACAATGTCAAGTGGAGTTTGCTGAGATTGAACCAGAAACTCTTGTGTTTGTAAACAAAGCATCAGTTCTGCCTCCTTAGCTGTTCATAAACTGTATATGTATATAGCCGCGAGCTGCCGTGTTCCAAATAGGAAATGAGCATGAGGGCACTTCCAGCTCCATCTGCTCTGGCATCGTTGACTCTACATTGAAATATTGTCACTCCTCTCTCTGTAACTGCTGCTGTGAGCCTCGGCATTTTCTGAAAATGTTTGTATTAACCCTCTCTACATGATTCTGGTGTTTTTCTTTTGCTATTTTGTCTGTAAATAAATCCCTTTTTTGTCATTTGGAACTTGGCTCTAAATTGTCCACTATCCTCGTGAGCTTCATTTGACTGGAGCCGGACGAATCCATGTATCATTTGTTCATTTGTTTTTCAAAATAAAACCAAAAATAAGAAGAAGAAAAAAAAAAAAAAAAAACAGCTATTTTCTTCATTATTTGTCTCCGAAACCAAAATGAAAAAACGGATAATGATTCTTTTTTTTTTTTTTTCAGTTTTCAATTTTGTGTTTTAAATGAATAATGGAAAAAAGGGATAATGACCATTTCCCATTCCCGTAAATTAAACTGCAATACCGGACTTTTGTGTCACAAACAGACTGAACCAGTACTAAACCACTACTGAACCAGGACTAAAACAGGACTGAACCAGGACTAAAAAAGGTCTAAATCAGCTATAAACCAGAATTGAACCAGGACTAAACCAGGTTCAAACCAGGTTCAAACCAGGTCTAAACCAGGACTGAACCTGAGTGTCGATAGGGGCCCGAAGGTGCGCTCACGTAGACTGTCAGGTGTTTAGGACTGAGACCGGGACTGAGGCCGGGACTGAGGCCGGGCCTGAGACCAAGACCAGACATGGACTGAAACCAGGACCAAGACTGAGACTGGGACCAGACCGGGACTGAGACCAGGATTGAGACCAGAACCAGACCAGGACTGAAACCGGTTTAGTCCTGGTTTACTCCTGGTTTAGACCTGATTCAGTTCTGGTTTAGACCTGTTTTAGTCCTGGTTCAGTTCTGGTTTAGACCTGTTTTAGTCCTGTTTTAGTACTGTTTTAGTCCTGGTTCAGTCCTGGGTCCTGGTTCAGTCCTGGTTAGGTCCACACTTTAAGTCAGGCAAACGGGAAACGGCCATTATCCATTTTTTCTATTATTCACATAAACACAAAATCGAAAACTGAAAAAAATGAATCGTTTTGGAGACAAATAATGAAGAAAATAGTAGTTTTTTTTTTCCCCTTTTTTTTATTTTTTATTTTTAGTTTTATTTTGAAAAGCAAATGATTTGGACACTATGGGTAATGTCACACTCACTTAGTCCACACTTATGATTGTTATAAATAAACATACAGTCATGACATGTTTTGAAAGATTAAAAACGATTTGCATATGAGCATCTTCCTCTTTCCCTTTTGTCTTGACCAAATCCATAATTACTGTTGATGTTCTGGGGACATGAAACCAACAATCTAACCATCCCCACACACAAATGTAATCAAACAGTTCATTTACGCCTGAAGAATGTGAGCCACATGCTCCGTGTCCAGGGTCAGATGTGCAGAAGTCGTAGCGTTGTCATAGATCTGCCTCTCCTGCGAGTATGAATGCCGCTCTAATGGCGATCTCTCTCTTTTTATGTAGGAGCACAACATCCCGGTGGACATGGGCTACGCTGTGGCCCCTCACCACTCGGGGGTCTACCCAGTGCACATGCAGCTGTACGAGGCCTGGAGGAGGGTCTGGAATATCCGGGTCACCAGCACAGAAGAGTACCCCCACCTCAAACCCGCACGCTATCGAAAAGGCTTCATCCACAACAACATCATGGTGAGAATGCAAACAACTGCTGAAGGCAATGGGCTGTTATTAGCACCACAAACTCATACAGCTTATCTGCACCAAACATGGACGTACATATACAAAGATAACCAGGCTGGACTGCTCTGGAGGTAGTATCATAAAGAGGAAATAGTTGTACTGAACTTTAAATTGGCAAAATAGAGGATATAGTATAAATATCTGCATGCTTGATTCATCTGTGTTATTGTACCTTCACCGAAACTGAGTAATTGTTACAGGTTAGAAAGATAGAAAGAAAATACTACTATAATATAAGAAAATACTACTTTTTTCATATTATTGGTTTGAGCAAGGTAAAACTAAATCAATAACAATACTTACATATTCCACCACAAGGGCTTAATGCTGCATGGTTCTGATGGAGGGTCCTTAAAATGCTTTTGAAGATCCAGGACAGAAGTGGACAGTTATTTTTTCCATGGGGCCACATGAGAAACAGAAAATATTGTGGATGGCCGGGCCAAAATGGTTAACTTCAGTATATTAATTGTATTTCTTTATAAAAAGCAGTTTTTTGTTTTGGCAAGCTGGTAAAAATTTATGTAATGATTAAGCAATGAAAAAGTGAGGCTGTCTTACAAAAAATAAATAAATAAAAAAACATTTCTAAAATCCAAGCAATGCAGCTTTAGTCCATGCTGGACATAAAATGATAAAATATGTTTATTTTGTAATACCAAATGAGCTTAAACGGGCTGGTCAGAGTCAACCAAAGTAGCCTGATACATCAGACGGTTTCTATGAAGTGAAACCGGCTGCATTAGAATTCATTCGCTTGACGGGAGGTGGGTACTTTTTTAATTTAACCAATCGCTGATATTTGGTCGTGATGTATGTAATGCATAACAGGGCTAACTGGTATATTAAGCTTTTCCCAAGTCCCATAGGAAGAAGGGCAATATCGTCTTTCCCCTTGATAAACTTCACCAAACATTCTCTTTGTTCCGGCTTTAAATCCCCGATCTCAGGAATCGTTGCCAACACAGAATGTATGGCTCTTCGCTGATCGGCTGGTGCCTGAACTCGCACTTCCGGGGTTTTTGCAAATCGTCTAGTGTATTCCGATTCCTGACCTAGTCGCTGGAGAGAAATTAAATTGAGCGGAGGCACTAGGTGGTGTCAGCCTGGCTACAACCAAAGCCCTGGGAGCTGTACAATGCCCAGGTCAGGTCTAGAATGTTTCATAGTATGATATTAAATCTTCCTATATTCACGGAGACCAAAATAAAACGTACGTAGTTACAGGTCATATCCGTGCAGAGGCAACCCTTTTCTAGGTATTTTTGAGCTATGAAACTACTTGTAATTTCATAAATGTAAGGTAGAGCTGGTTAATGTCATACTGTGGAACATTCCAGGCAGAGCAATGATCAAAAAGCTGCATAATGGACCTTTAAAATATAGCAATTAACAACATAAGCAGGATGTCTTCGTATAGAGACATACAGAAGGCTATGATATTTATAGCGTTTATGAATGATTTAAATTACATTTGAAGCACTTCATATTCTATTAATATGTGGCCAGCTTCATGTCAGTCTCCACTTCCCCACACAAGTGTCCGTGTTATGTAGTTTTTCATTTAGATGAGCACCATGTGTCTACTCCATATGTCACAAACATATCTTAGTTGCCTATTAAAGGGCTCATATTATGTGATTTTCTTATGAATGTTATCTTCAACAAACCTGCATATTTAGGCTGAGCTCTTCTCCCAAATAGAAAATACTCTGTTCCAACTTGTGATGTCATGTGGTAATACAGAAGTGCTCCACTGTGTTTTTAAACCCCACATACTTTCACTAGAATCATTTGGATAATTTCAGCTTCAGGAATTGTCAGTCTCTACTGAACTAAAAGGTAAAATGAAGCTGTTAATAAAATAAATAAATAAATAAAATACCGCTAAATGACATGACAAGGTGGAACAGAGTATTGAGCATTTGTTTGACAGACTAATAATAAAACAAAACACAACTACATCTATATTTTTGAGCATTAAACAACATTATAACATGTCTTAAAGCTCACGAGAGTCAATTTAGCATAATATAGGACATTTAAGCTTTGTAATGCTGCCAACTGAACTAAACGAAGTCCTTTTTGGTTGTTGATGGTTTTGAAATATTTTTGCTGCTTCCAAAAATGTCAAATCAAAGCTCCGACTCCAGTTGCATAGTTACATTCTCCTCTGTTGGTCATGGATGCTGTGGGCACGTGCGTGGGTGGACATCTTTGACCTTGTCTTGACACACAAATCTCCAATCTTGCACTGACTCAATATTTAATCACACCCTAATGCTTTTCTCTGTGCAACCAACTCTGTGTCATACAAAGCCCTTGTAACCAGAACAGCCTAACCTCTAGCTTCGTATTTGATTAATAATTCATCAGTAATTGTTTGCTACAATAAAACTATTGTCAGCCATTTTGGATTCTGGCTCCGTCTCTCCCTCCTTCGCCATTCCTCTTCATCGCTTGTCATTCAAAAGCTTTTGTCACTTTGTACAATGGTGCCTCTATTGACAAAAGAACCAATCACCGCCTGACACTAAAATTACCATTCGTCAAATCTCTAATCAGTTCAGAAATGTGCTTTTGTTTCTGCTAACATCTCTTCGGGGCCTGTTTGATAGACGTTAGTATTCTTCTGCCTTAATTGCAAGATGACAGTTTGACACGTCTGGATTTGTTATTATACATGATCAATAATAATAATAATACGAGACATTATTCAGTGTATTAAACCACGGGGCTCACAATAAAAGTGTGTTTCATACTGGGTAAGGAAATGAATGGCCACAAAGGGGGTAAAGAACAAAACATGTAATATGAATCACAAAGGATTTTAAGAGATTTGGAACAAGAAAACGTAGAATTAAATACATGAAAAAAAGACTTGGTTTATTGGTCTTGTAATTAAATGTTAGAAATACAGGTCTTTATAATGAACTGTTATTCTACTCCACTTCATACGGGGGAAACAACACGACTTTGAACAAATATGGACACTTTTTTTGAATACTTGAATACCGTATTTTCCGGACTATAGGGCTCGCTCTTAAGTCTTTAACCCCATCAAAAAACGAGTGTGCGCCCCACAATCCAAAGCGCCTCATACACAAATCCACTCGAGTGTCCCAGCACGACTTCAGTAAACTATAAAGCCGCACCACCTGCAGCCACACTCATCACTCCAAGCAGACGAGGAACGGAACGGAGGAACGAACCAAAAAAGCGAGTGCAATGTGCCACTTCTAGACACGACTGAACAACTGAGTCACTGCGAACACGTCAACAATCCGGCGTTCCCAGACAGCACCCTCCCTACACGCCACAACTGAACAAAGCCCAGAGTCACCGTGAACGCCAAAACAAAGTCTGACTGATCCATCAAACTGTTGTGTTTCGTTTAAAGTCTGGCGCGGTTTATTTGTGAAAAAAGTTTGAAAATAGACCATTTAATGACCTTATAATCCAGAGCGACTAATAGTGTGGAAAATACGGCACTTTGATTACCTCAAAATGTCTGGGCGTTTTTTTTATGTAGTGTTTTTGAAATGTGTCTGTGTAGAGAGAGGGTTGGTGCATAGAAGAGTTTTGTTTTATTTTTGTCTATTTTTTGTTTCAGTTCTGTAAAATATTAAAATTTATATAAAAAAAATAAAAAAAAAATAATACAGGTCTTTACTCCTAATTATTCTGCTCATATGTGTATATATAGTACACAAATCTAACCACAAATTTTACACTTCTCGCTGTTAAATAAACAAAGTATGTCTTTTTCATTACAATATATTATAATTTGAAAAGTTTAAAATATGATCAGTTTTTGCATTTACATTTTTAATCATATATTCAACCAAATCAACAACAACCAGGAGATCTAAATCCCATCATCGCTCAAGCAATATAATAATTCATTTTTTGAATAATGGAAGCCGGCGAAGAAAAACAAGCGCCTTACATCAGATTAGAACAAAAGATTTAAGAGTTTGAAGTGATGAAAACAGTACAATAAATAAATCATTCCTCGAAGACTTAGGCACAAGTGATTTCCGGAGCCTTGAAATAAATGCAGATGGCCGTTTGTTGGAAAAGTTCATATCTTTTCTCTGTTACCTTTTCCACTTTAGTAAATGTTGTCCAGGCTGTAAAATCCCACGGGAAATAGAACAAGGACGTATGCAAATCAGACCCAGTCCCACGGCGAAAGGAAAAGCCTTTTGTTGATAGTGTTCATGTTTGGTACAGGATTTTTCTGAATAAAGACCAAACATGGCTGCATATTCTCTACACATATGCTCCTCGTGTCCCTGGAGGCTTTCCTATGATCACAGAATGTATAAAGAAGAGGACTAAGGCAGGGTGACGTCAAACATAATGTTCAAACTCCAGTCAAATGAAGCTCACGAGGCTTAGCAGTTATACGGGCACATTTTGGGAATAGGGATTTATTTATGAACAAAATAACAAAATAAAAACATGAGGATTAGAGCGGATTAAAACGAACATTTTAAAGGTGCAGTGTAGCTTTTCTGCTGGAGGGTCCGTCAAATGGTTTTCTTCATGGAAAAGTTATTGTTTTGTCTGTAATGTTTCACAGTATGGAAACATTTCTATCACCATAGAGACCAAACCAGGCCAAGTTACTGGTCAGATCGGTGAAGAGGCAACCACGCTCACTTAGACTTATAGTGACCCAAATCTGATTTTTTGGCCCCTATGTGACCTGTATCTGATCTTTTAATGACGACACAGATCCGATTTTTTCAAATGCGACCCAGGCCACTTGGATATGTGGTCCTAAAATCGGTACATATCCGATCTTTTGACATGCGACTTCAGTCTGAACGGCCAAAGCGCATTCATCCGACCTACACGTTATCAACAAGCCACAAAAGTCACTATTCTGCGCTGAAGTAGGCGAAAATTGTTAGTGAACTCCGTGTCACTGAAGCGAAGCA